ATGGTTCAATCTAGCAAATGTTACTGTGCTTTATGGGGAGCAATACTGGCTAAGGTCTGCAATTCTTTTTTATTGGTTTCTTTTACATTTTTTCTTGGTTCCGAATCTATGTTTCAATCTGAGTAACAAGATTAACAGAAGCTTGTTTTCCTTTTTCTTTCTTCTTCAGACATTGAAATTTTTTTTTTTATTTCTTTATCCGTCAAAATTGGATTAGAACATAGCAGGTATTGATACACATCTCACACACACACCCAATGGTTTAGCAAATGTTTTGGTCCCATTTTTTGCCTCCTTGCCTTTGTAGTAGAATTCATTTAATTTCCTTTTTAATGTCAATTCTAGATTTTGATTTGAAAGCAACACGCATCCATGTTTTAGTGTCTTTTGAGTGGCCAAAATTTTGGTTTGTGTATATGCTAGATCTATGTTTGATACGCGAAACAGAACGATAATTGAAAAAATGATTTTTTTCATTTTTTGATCCATAATCTATAGTCTACCAGGGAATAAGTTTATTATTTTTTTTAGTGTCTTTTGAGTTGCCAAAATTTCGTATGAGTATATGCTAGATCTATGTTTGATACGCAAAACATAACCATAATTGTCCTCATTTTTTGGTCCATAATCTATACCAGGGAATAAAAAAATTTAAATTTTTTATTCAAGAGAAAGAAAACCGCAAGTATTTTTTTCACATCATATAATTGGTCAAAAATATTTTCATTCATGATATATCCAAATCTGCTTTACTTGCGAGTAGAAAGCCGGACATAGTGGTTAATTAATTAGTTAAACTCTTTGTTCATTCAATCTTTTAATTTGTTTTCCAGCTTTGAACACATTAATGTTGAGCAGATTAATTGCCTTTTGTATTCCACAGTATATGTTCAAACTGCATCCATCACAAAAGAAAATCAAAAAGGGTACCAGCAAGAAGATGATTCAGAACCAAAGATCTGAAGTGCAAAATGAAGGCAAAATGAAAAAGGACCAAGTTGGCTCTTCCAAGGAGACACTACCTAAAAAACAAAAACAAAAGGGTAATTTACAAAGGATATAACCTTTTCAAAAATAATTTAAAAGAATTATAACTTCTTTTGACTTATATCGTCGTTCCATTTATATTATTCTTTCTAATTAATTTGGCTATGCATGACTTCAGGTGATGATTTTGAAAGCAACATAATTTTAAGCGAAAATAGTGTGTCAAGAAATCCTAGTCATGCCCTTAGAGACAATAACATCGATAATAATTCGAAGCTTCTTATGAAAGACGGGAAAGATATAGACTACCATGTACAACAAGGAATACCAGCGAGTGCAATGTTAAGTTCCAAAAATATTATTGACCTCAACAAGGTAATTAATGTTTTATGTTTACTTACTTATGTCAACACCATACTAGAATTTCATATTTTTAATTCATTAATATACTTTTAATTTAACTTTTTTGATCCATCAAACCATAACAAAGGTAAATAAATAAATTCTTCTCCTGTCGCATATTTCTCAAAAAAACAATTAGCACAAGTATCTTTTTCAATACTTTTAGAATTGGTTTTGTGCGACGTATAATATTATCCAAAACTTATATACTTTCTAAAGCTTAACATAACTAATTGGACTTTTGCATTATAGTACTTTTGTTTTTAAACTTAGAATCTATTAATATCGAGGCAACATATTTTACTTTGTTTTTCAACTATGAACCTTTTAATATTGAGAAAAGATTTTACTTTCAATGACTATTTGATTTTTCATAATTCATTGATCATGCTCTTTGTATAATATAGTATATTTTTCTATCTCCAGCCACCTAACGAAAATGAAGAAGAAAGCTGTAAGGAGGTGATACAAAATAAAAGACCTCTAGAACATAATGGAAGCATAAATGAAAAGGAGCAAGAGGACTCTTTCGAGGAGGAACTACCCGAAAAACAACAACAGGAAGACAACGGTATTAAGGAATATTATATCTCATTATTGACTTATATTAATTTTAAATTTCACGATTTACTTATATTAATTTTTTGAAAACTTGGACCTAAGCACATGGTGGAGTATTTTTTATCATTCTCTATATGATTTTCAGGTGAACCTGAGGTCAATCGAGTTACATGTGAAGATAGACTTCCAGATGATCTTGACTATAACGTCAATAGTGGCTCGAAACTTTTGACAAGAGACGAAAAAGATAAAAAATACTATATCAAGCAAGGAATTCCAAGGAGTATAAAATTCCGTTGCATGACTAACCTTTACAAGGTAATTTATGACTTATGCCTATTCCATCACTAACCTTTTCTCAAAGCTAAGAAATTTGACCGAAAAAAAATGTTAAGCTGGTTATTTATATTATCGAGTTTCCTTGCACTCTACAGTGTACTAATAGGCTCTCACCAGTTGAAGATGAATATAATTGGAATCTTCCGATTGGAGAAAATCCAAATATGAGTATTTTCTCGACCATAAAAGATTCAAGTATCAAAACCAACAAAAAGAATGCTGGTTGTAAGAGAAAATTGACAGGCTATCAAAAAGACAAAGGAGAAAAGGATATTACGCCTTCTTCAACCTCCAAGATTGTAAAAATGTAAGTATTTGGTAATACAATAAACTCTTTCCCTTTTGTAAAAGAATACTTTACAAAACTATTTCAGTTCTCTAGGTCATTAATAGAAGCAAAATAGAAGTAAGAGCTATGAAAGTTTAATATAAGTAATTCTCAGTAAAATATAGTAAAATATTTTCTTCAGAAATAACATATTTTACTGTTTAAGATAACTGAATGGGGAAATGATTTCATCAACTTTATGCAAAAATATTTTAGATTGTAATTTAAACTGAAAACGACAATTTCTTGATCGTTTAACTATGATTTTCTATTATTCTTAACTAATCTCATGTTTAATTTATATGGTAAATTTCTTGATACTCTAAGACTTAGGTTTTCTATCATTGTTAATTTATATGTTATTATGTTATTTGATATTCAGAAGATCTGCCGACTATTGTGAGAGAGTAGGGAATAATGCAGAGAGAACGTCTTCTCCAAACACTATCCGCAGCGATAAAGTGCATTCAGGCGGAGAAATAGAAGGCTGAGATAGGCTATACGAAGAACTAGGGCTGCAAATGAAAACCACAACAATTAATTAAACGTCATATTTAGCTTTAAACCATTTAGAGAATCAAACTTTGTTTTTTTGGTTTTAATCATTTCTTAGAATGTTGAATTGTATTCAATTCGTTTTCAATTTTAGACTTAGAGGTCACACAACAGAATTTTGCTTTTTGATCTTTTTTAATTACCTTTTATGTAGTTTATTTTCAAAACTCGTCTTCAAAAAGGGTGTGCTCTTTTTTTAGGAGAAAAAATTTACTCACACTCGATAATGATAGTTACATCAAATAAATATAGATACATGTTCTCTGGAGAATTTTGGAAATACTCCCAGACATTTAAAAATGTTGTGTCTAATTAATTCAATAACTCTTTAAATATATAAAATCCCTTCTAAGTTATTGGTATTTACTTTATATAAGAACTCACGTCGTGTTGTCTTTTTGATACCAATTTCATTAAGAATCAACACCCTTAAAGTCAACAGTAATTACCCTATAATATTTAGGTTGAACTTAGGTCACGACCGAATTACTTACCATTTTAGAAAAAGAACCAAAGAAAGAGTAAACAAAAGAATTGCTTAAATTGCAACCTTGTCCCTGAAGTTAATTAGTTAAACGGAAAATTCGATTGATGGTTGATATCTATGAGGCAACAAAGCTAGTGATGAATATGAAGAAGAATTAGAAGCAACATATATGCATGGCTAGTTTAATTTGGAAACCTAAACACCTTCTAATAATTGTCATGTACAACTTAGCCCTAATTATCTATGTGCGTTAAAGCGTTTGATTTTAAGGTAAATGTGAAGATGTTGAAGTTGTGGATTGAACTTCAGAAGTTTTTGGAATTTCATGCTTCTTCAAGAATTGCATGCAGCTGCGTGGTTCTTAGCTCACAAGTGAACGTTTGACAAATTTTGAGGGGGTTTTCCCATGTCATTTTGAAATATAGACCTTTCCATTTTAGTACTGTCATTGTTTAGGAATTTTATTGTGGGAAATTATTTGTTTTATGCAAGAGGATTATGAAAACCCTTAGGGAAAAACTATAATATGCTACCGAGAGAATTCATGTACTCAAAAGTGAAGATGTTTTCTCCTTTGTCTCATTGTTTATCTCGTTATTCGAGATAGGATCCTCTGTATTACTTCACGAAACATTTACGCCATTTGGAAAAGCAAAGAAAAACAGTTGCAGATTAATAAAAAATTTAGTGAAAGAATTTTTGAGGTAGGATGTTGTTTTGCTAGCTTTACATGTACACTAAAAAAAAACATAAAGATTTGTCTTTTTAACGGTACTTAAAAAGATACCATACAAAGTGCAGAAGTTTACAGCTAAATCATCTATGCTTCGCAGATGATGTACTAATGTTCTGCAAAGGAAAATATTAATCTATTATGCTGATGCTCAGGGGGCTGTAAACATTCTCCAACTCTTCAGGGCTAACAACTAATGCAGGGAAATCGAATATATATACTGTCAACATGGAAGACCAGGAAGTGGAGGAACTGTGTGAGATAACAGGCTATAGCAGAGGCAATCTCCCTTTCAAATACTTAAGAGTTCCAATATCATCGAAGAAGATATCAAAAATGGACTGCCAAGTGCTAGTGGACAAAATAATAGCAAGAATAAGAAGCTGGGGATCAAAACATCTGTCTTATGCTGGAAGGGTGCAATTGATCAATGCAGTGCTAATGCATCTCCATACGTATTGGGCTTCCATTTTTCTACTCCCCAAATCAGTACTTAAAGGGATCACATCAATTTGTCGGAATTATCTATGGAATGGCAAGGTGGAGACAAATAGAAGACCACTAGTGACCTGGGATCTTGTATGTAGCCAAAGCAAGAGGGTGAGATAGGAATAAAAGACTGCCCAATCTGGAATGAAGCTGCAATTAGGAAGTATGTATGGGATGTTACAACAAAAGCTGATTCTTTATGGGTTAAATGGATCAATCATATATACTTAAAGAACACTGACTGGGGGATATACAGGGTGCCACAGGATAGCAGCTGGTATTGGAAAAAAATTTGCCATATAAGAGATAAGCTCGCAGAAGGGTACAATCAGGGCACATGGCAAAGGCAAACAGGAGGATATACAATCAAGAAAGGGTGCTCCTGGCTGAAAGGGACACTGGAAAATTGTCAATGCGGAAGATGGGTTTGGAATGCACAAAATGTTCCAAAATATAGCTTCATCTGCAGGCTAATGATGCAAGGGAAGCTGCTAACTAAAGATAGGCTAGCCAACAGAGGAATTTGCTCAGATGGCCTATGTGAACTGTGCGGAAATGCCCCAGAATCTATAGAGCACTTGTTCTATGAATGTCACTTCTCTAAGATGTGTATTAATGAAGTTCTACAATGGCTGAAAATAAGCATAATAAGCTATGAAGGGCAGCATCTGTGGAAAAGAATTGGCAGGAAGATGGGAAGCAAATTTAGAAGGGAGTTCTCTTATGCTATATTGGTTGCATTGAGCTACCACATATGAAGGGGGAGAAATGAAGCTGTATGGAAATGTGCTGTGCCTAGGCCTAGCAAGATATGTACTCAGATAAAAAAGGAATGCAAAGTGCGTGTGATGGAGATACTCAATAGGAAGAAGCAGGACAAGGATAGAAGATGGATAGAAGAAGTGTATATAGCTAAATAAAAGCTAGGAAATACTTGTACAGAATAGAATACAAAAATAGACTTACTTGTCCTTAGACGAGTAAGTATAGATTATAAAGATAGATGGTAGTGATGTTTCTTTGCTGTAATTCAATGTTTTTGCCTTATAAAATATGTATTGTCACGCCCCGAACCTGGGGAGGCGTGGCTGGCACCCGATGCCGTGCTGGCCCGAGAGAACCACTCTGTAACTCATGATCTTTCGATCAAAACTAGAACATACATAGTTCGAGTTAGCTGGACTTATTCCTTTTATAACAATTGTGGACCAACATGGCCACAACTCATAATGCATAACTATAAGTGGGCAACATTGTATCAATAAACTATCGTTCTTAAAACATGAATACATATGGGCCGGCAGGGCCTCTTACATACTGTACATTGAACATTTGTCTACAAAGCCTCTAAGATTAAAATGGGACAGGGTACCGGCCTACCCATAAGTCTGTAGCAAAATTCTGACACGATGACTCATAAACTCGACTGCACTCCGCATGAGGTGGAGTCTTACCGATCCTTCCCTGAATGCCAATCTCGTCTACTATGAGGGCTCGTCAAACTGATTATCTATACTTGCAGGCATGAATGCAGCGTCCCCAACAAAGGGACGTCAGTACGAATAATGTACTGAGTATCTAAGGCTCATAAATAACTACATAACAGACATGGAAGAAGTATAGAATAAATGACTCAACCTGTTCAAATAATGACATTGTATATAGTCCAACGTTTCAGCAAACATTAATGACTGTGTCCCTTTATTTCTTTCACCATTTAATTGAAAAAATGAGATAACCATATGCTTTGACAAAATTTAGGACTTTTTTTTTTCCAACCCCACCTTTATGGAAAGTGATTTCCACACTTACTGGTAAGGTCTCATTATGTTACGGTGTTCTAATCCCGCTTACTATTTTAATCCTAATATACTCTTTCATTTAGAGGAAACTTTTATGGTGTACATCTATTCAAACCACATTCAAAAGAGATTCCAACAGTTATGGGAAAACTACGAATAAGTTCACATTTTTTAATTGTATTCCGGAGTTAATATTTACCTTTAGGACAATACAAGTTCACAGCTCAAAGCAATTACTTTGTTCTAAACTATCCTAACGTGGTCTTCTAGAATGAAATATGGGACTTGAACTCAGGATTAACTTGTTTAATACTATATGTATAGGCGTTCCTTTTAGTCTTATCGTTGTTCCTTCATTCAATTCCTACGCTTAGAAAATATTTCTTAGTTTTCACTGGAAAAAAATCATTAGGAAAAGTTAAAGTAGAAAGTAACAACATAGCCTCCATGGGTACTTGGGTGAATCAAATTTTTGTAAAATTGCTAATTTGAGGAAAATGACATAGGCACAAGAAAACGGCCCCAATGAATTATCATACAGAAAATAAAAACATACACATTGTGTCATACATATGCGTATGAATGTCATGTCGTGCATAGGTACATGTTTCATAACATCATTAGGCCTTTGAGAGCATCCCATCATATCATCTCGGCCACTGCGGGCAAAATCATCAACGTATATCAGCTGATCAGGTGGTGGTGCGTATATAACGCCGTAATCTTTTCCCAAATCCCATATATATATATATATATATATATATATATACGCGTATATAACGCCGCCTGGTCATGGGTCAATGTACATGTATAAATTAATGCAATACATGAGAAGTACGTCAATAAAATCTCTATCATCAACGTATACCAGCTGATCAGGTGGTGGTGCGTATATAATGCCGTAACCTTTTCCAATATATATATATATATATATATATATATATATATATATATATATATATACGTGTATATAACGCCGCCTGGTCATGGGTCAATGTACATATATAAATTAATGCAATGCATGAGAAGTACGTCAATAAAATCTCTATCATACCAGCTGATCAGGTGGTGGTGCGTATATAATGCTGTAACCTTTTCCAATATATATATATATAATGTCGTCTGGTCAATGTACATGTATAAATGAATGCAATGCATGAAAAGTACGTCAATAAAATCTCTCGGAACATCGTAAGACCATTATACCTGTGATTAATATCATGAAACAAACTTTATCAACTTACGTATTTTCTGAGACCTATAAGCAGACAATAGAATAATAAGACTTATGGGAGAATAAGAATATACACATCTCTAGCATTTCTACGAATAGAGTAATTTATGGAAGTTGTGCATTTGCTCGTTTCGTTTGTATCGTATGGATCATGCCAAAAGGAAAGAAGGTTCGTTTGTATCGTATGAATCATGCCAAAAGGAAAGAAGGGATAGCCTTAACATATCTGGATCGATTCTCTTAACAATTCCTCTAATGCCGTTGATTGCAACAATGCGTAATGGCGAATCGAAGTAGGGAAATACAATAGCCAACCTATTATGAACAGTTTAATGACATGAGTCTTTTATCTATGGATTCTGTGTTGAGCTTGAATCATTTCATGTATTGAGGTGAGCTTGGCATAATCTCCAAGGAAATAGATCGAAAATAACAACTCTATGTCAGCATGCTAGTAGTACATCAACACCATATCATAGGCGTAAAACACACTGAATGAACTAATTATGGACAGCCATAAGAAGAAGACAAGAATG